ATGGAATAAAGGATTGTGTTATTTTGATCATAGTATATAAATTGCTTAACGTTTGTCATATACCCTTTGAACCAAAGTTAACTTTTATTTTTCACTTTGTAGTTTTCAAGTTTTTTTTATTAGCATATTGTGATTTACCGTAAAATGATTTTGATTGACAGGTCAATGAAAACTCCTAATGTAAAACAGTCATTATAAAAGGCGTTCAATATATGATTGGAAAGTTCAACTACTGCATATTCAGTGGAATTTTTTTTTAAAAACCAAATTGTTTGCAATACAACATTACATTCTCAGTTAGATGATTATAGCCTATTATACATTATTTTCTCTAGCAATTTTGAGAAACAAGGTAATATAGACATAGGCCTATAATTTAAAATATTTGACTTATCTCCAGATTTAAAAATTGGTGTTATACGGGCAATTTTTAGTTTGTTAAAAGCAGAACCTGTTTTAAATAAAAGATCAAAAACATGAAAAGGAGGTTCAATGATATCGAATACTGATTTGGCAATATCAACATTGATTTTATCAAAACCTTCACTTTTTTTTTACTTTTGAGACTGCTAAACGCAGCTCTCAGCTAGCTTAGTTTTAAATCAGTTTTGTCCATAAGTTTATCATAAGTTTTTTTATTATGAATCGAAAGGAGTGGTGTTAGGTGGAATTTTAGCAGCCAATTTTGGACCGGTATAAACAAAGTAGTTGTTTAGTTCTTCAGCTATAATAGATTTATCATAAACTTATTTTCTATTAATTAAAAGATTTTTTGGCAGAGTGTTTTTTTTATAATTTTTTTTTTCTTAATTCCATTCCATACTTTTTAAGTGTTTCAGTTGTATTTTTTTAATAACTGAGCATAAGAAAGTTTTTTTCATATCTTTTTATTTTTTCAAATATAGTTTTGTAATTTTTATTTGAATATTTATTATTTTATCTGAATCTATTTATTATTTTATTTTTAAAAGATTTTTTTTTAAGATAGGGGAAAGTCGAATAGCCACGGACGGCAGGTATCTCCGGACACTTGATGTAAAGCTTAAATTAAAGAAGCTATGTGACTTTAAATACAATAAAAAAATTATTTGAGTGAAAATATGGCATAAGCAAAATATCTATCATAATATGTCAAATCGATTGGCTGGGAGTGCAAGATGTTGTTTTCCACCACCAGAAGAGAAATAATATTGCATTTAATATAATACACAAAACCATAATAGTAATTTATTTAAATCCAATAAAAAGATATTTATATTTCTAAAATGTTTAATTTCTAAACGACGACACTTTCTTTCCCATTCCTTATATACCAAAGGCAAATTTTTAAGGCAATTTTTTGTTGTTGTTGTTGTGTTTAGAACATTCCAATGCTAATTAATTATATAATGTTTTTTTGTTTCTAATAATTGTTTTTTTGTTTCTAATTCAATAGATAAATGTTTATACTTTTAAAAATTTTTTTCGACACTGTTTTCTGTTAGTTCATGTGTACAATCTATTTTTCAAATTGCTTGCAAAATTGACCAAGAAACAAGCTATAAGCATTGTTGGCATCACTTGATTTCAAAACCAGTTTCCAATCAAGATAATTTTTAAAACAGTTTTAAAAATGCTTTAAAGAGTTTTCATTTATCTGTCTCCGAAATAATGTGGATTATGTGACAATATTGTTAATTAAAATGTTACTGGTAGCTAAGAATGTAGAAAAATGATCCGATTAATCAGCCTGAATTATACTTGTGTAAAGAGGGCTATTATAAAAACTGTTAGTTATGATGTTATCCAGTTGAGTAAAAGACCTTTTTGTAACTCTTTTTGATTTGTTTATTGTTGGAAATTATTTCCTAGAAGAGTATTTATAAAATTCTAGACATTATTATTAAAAGCATAGTTGATTAGGTTAATGTGAAAATTCCCGACCAAATAAATATGTTTCCTCGAATTTTTACTTTGTTTAGAAATGTTTTAAGATGAATTATAAACTTTTTTATATTACCAGATGGTGGTCTATAAATACTATTTATAATTATGTTTTTTTCAGTTTTATTTACTAATTCAATGCATAATGATTCACAGTCTGTTTTGTTAATACAGAGGTCAATACGTAAAATATAATTAAGTGAATTGTGGATAAAAATACTAAGGCCCCCACTTGCATTAAATGTGGTTGGTGAATTGGAACAACTGAATAAGCGCAAATTTCTTAAGTGCGAACTGGCATAAATGCGAACTGGTATAAGTGCGAAGGAGTTACAAAAACTGGCATAAGTGTGAGCTTGCATTTGTGCAAATTGGCATAAGAGCGCCAAATAAATTTACAAACATCAACATAAGTGCGAATTGGCCAATATTTGCAATTTTATTCGGTGCACTGATTTTAATTCGTACTTATGCCAATTTGCAATTATGTCAGTTCGTACTTATGCCAGTTTCTGTAACTGCTTCGCACTTATGCCAGTTCGCACTTATGATAATGTTTGCAAACTTGTTCGGCGCACTTATGCCAACTCGCACTTATGCTAATTCGCACTGATGCCAGTTTCTGTAACTGCTTCGCACTTATGTCAGTTTGCACTTATGCCAATTTGCACTTATGCCAATGTTTGCAAAATTGTTCGGCGCACTTATGCCAATTCGCACTTATACCAGTTCGCACTTGTGCAAGCTCGCACTTGAGCCAGTTTTTGCAACTGCTTCGCACATATGCCAGCTCGCACTTATGCCAGGTCGCACTTATGCCCATTCGCACATATGCCAATTCACACTTATGCCAATTTTTGTAACGCTTCGCACGTATACCATTTCGCACTTATGCCAATTCGCGCTTATTCAGTCTCCCGAGTGAACTGATGTGTAGTTGACTACTTCAAATTCATAATTTGTTTTACCACTTTTACACTAGTTTTTTGTCAGATATATATTTTAAAGTTGGGTCTAAGTTCATTTAATAATATATTTAAATTTTCAAAGTTTTTATTCAAATTTTGAATATTAATATTTAAAATTGAAAAAGAGTTTTTATTTTGTCTAAGATGTTGCGAACATTCAAAAACGGAGTAATATTTATTTTCTAACATTTTGTCATTACAATAATTTAAGTCGGTGTCATTATCAGCGAGAATGTCATTTTCATCCGAAAATTTAATTAAGAATTTTCCTCCATTTTTAGAACAATTAAATTTAAAATAAGTAATAGTAAAAATAAAATTAAACAAAATTAATGACAAATTTTTATTTAATGAAGATGAATTTTTGCTTTTCTTTTCTACCCAATCGCAAATTATTATTTTATCAAAAGATATGTATGCAAACTTACTTTTACAAATATATCTGATGATAAATTGATAATTCAGCCGCTCGTTCAATTTTCACTTTCTCCTTCAAACCTTTACCGATTTGCGTTGTTTCAGAACAGAAATCATCGTTTATATAAATGTTTTTCCCCCTTTCAGATTGACAGGCTTAAAATTGCGACTTTAACTTTAAAATTTATAAGTTTTATCACTATTGTTCTCAGCTTATTTGATTTTTTTTCCAGTTCTATAGGCCCGTTATTTGGACATTTTTAACAGGTAATAATACTTCAAAAACTTTTTTTACCTTAAGTTCGCTTTTCTCCCAGCTTTCATCTTCCAAGGTTGTAGACAACTTTTTTTGATGTTTGAGCTAAGCTACTTTGGAACATGAAGAAAATATTTATTTAAGTATGTTCATATATATGAGGAATGAGGATACTGTGCAAAATATAGCGGTGATTGGAGACTGGGAACAACAAAAACCCTAAAACGTTACCCCCCAGCCCCAAACAGGAGGGCAGTTAGGTATATTTGTAACTTTTTATTGCTTTTAAACTTAATTCATATTCATCGACGAATTTCAAATTTGATTCAATAATCTTTTGTTGTTTGGCTTTTATGACCTTATATAGTTTACACCCCCTCAAATTAAGGGGGGTGTAAACTTTATAAGTGAAATAATCGTTCACCTAAATTTTTATTATTTGAAACATGCCCGTACCGTGGGCGGGATGGGGGTGAGGGATTTGGGTTGTTGGGTGCAATTGATCCCCCTATTTTAACAAATTCTTTTTGTTTCACGCAAGTTTTATAATAAAAATTGAACAAAAATTTTATTGGCTATTCTAAACTGCCTTTTATAAACAAACCCCCCAAAAAATTTATACGGTACTGACCTGTAAAAGATATTTTATTATTCAATTGAACTTTTAAAATTCGAAAGATATTTTAAAGAAATAAATGAGTCGTTTTTATTTTTTAAAAGTAGTTTAAGTCATCTTTTCAAAAAAATCAAGTTATTGATTTTTTTTGAAAAGGTGACTTTTGCCACTTCGAAAATAAACGGTTCAAATAACAGTTATAAAAATGTGTTTTACGTCTAATCAAATAACTCTTGACAAATCTAATAATGTTGTACCTTTTGTTGAACAAATGACTATCATTTATTGTAAGTTTACTTTCAGTTTCTATTTTTGTGTTTGATGTTTAAATAAATGTTTATTTTGAATTATAATTTTGAGTCAGTCAACATTTTTTTTGACATTTAGTATTTAGTATTTCTACTATTTTTTTGACATTTAGTATTTAGTATTTCTACTGTTATAATGTTTTATTGTTGATGCTGCTGAAGCTAAATCTATTGAAAAACTTTTACAACATTTTTGCTTTTTTGATTTCAAAATGTGCAACATTTTGAAATAATACGTAAAAAGAAAAATGTTTTAAAATAATACGTAAAAAGAAAAATGTTTTAAAATAATACGTTAAAAGAAAAATTTATTAAATATACTACAAACTAAGTACTTTGAACTTTAATTACAAATATAAAATGTTATGAAACACTATTTTAAAATTTATACGGTTTGATTTTATCATATAATTTAATTAATACATTCCCTAACAAGAATAGATTTTAAACCTGTTTTTAGATACCAAGTTTTATACTATTAAATTAAAGAAGATAGAATTTAAAAATATAAAAAAAGTCTAAGGAGATATAGAGAGCGCCCCCTATCGCTTACTCCCCCCCCCCCCCTCTCGTTTGACCATATCTATCAGCGGTTTATAAATTCATACAACTTTTTTAGAATTATAAGGAATGAGAAGTATCCTCGTTTTATTTGTAGTTTTTGGTTTTTTTGGTAAGTTTTGTTTACTTTTAATTTTTTGAGCATTTGTAAAATACGTTTTCAGTATTTTTTTTATTTTGGTAAGTAAGTATTTAGTTTTAACATGTGTAATTTAATTTAGTTTTAACATGTGTAATTTAATTTAGACTTGTGTAAACCTCATTTAATTTCTGTTTACTGGGGTCAAGATTCAGCAGGTGGGATTAGCCTTACCTTTGAAAAAGAGCTACTGGAATACTGCAAGAACTTTCACTATGACATTATTACCATTGCGTTTGTTGACATATTCTTTGATAGAAATAACAAGGGTAATTTCTTTTAATTTAAAATATTTAGGGGAAAACGGGGCAACATGACGAACGTTATGAAAGTCCTGAATTATTGCAAAACTATCAGTTGTGAAGCAATAATACTTTCTCAGTATGTTTATGTTATTAAAATCCTTCATTGCCTGAATGTATTTTCAGTTTGCAAATATAACAATATAACAATTTGAAATGAATATTAAAATAAAAAGTTCATAAATTTGTCATCTGGTCACGTGACCGGGGCAAGATGACTTATTATGCAATTTTTACCTCCAATTTTATAAAGTTTTAAAAACTACCAATAACTCTAACTAAAGTAACAAAAAATAAACACAAATTGCAAAAAACTACTACTAAAGAAGTTGAACTTTTAGGACACCATCCATTATGAGAAACCGAAAGTGAGGAATTTTTTTTTAAGCGCAAGAAGTAAACTTATGCGTATAAAATTATGTTAATAATATTTCAAAAAACCGATTGGTGTTTTAAAATACAAAATGCAAATACAGTTTCGTTTTCATCCAATTTTAGGATTTTTTGTTGAGTTATTATATGAAAACCCATCTTGCTCCATTCTCCATGTTGCCCCACTTTCTCCTACAATTTTTCTAATTTCATTACTCAATACTATTTTATGCAATTAATAAATACACAAATTAAAAAATATATATCATTGTCATTAGGAATATTGTTTTTAAACTAGCTTTAACGTAACAAGTTAAGTATTAATTAATAATTGATAAAGTAGAATAATTTCGGCGTATTTTTTTTAAATTATAAAAAATTAAGGGCTTATTAGAGTTTTGTTTCTAGCCTGTTGGAAAGCGACATCCTTTGTCCCTATTTCCAAAGATTTTGGAGAACTAACGTCTAACTCCGTTCAATTAGTCTTGTTACTATCGTAAGCAAGGTTTTTGAGTTTTTAATTAACAAACACTTAATCTCTCATCTTGATTATAACTCATAGCTTATTTTCTGATCATCGTTATCTTTTTTTTTTTGGGATTTATGATCATTGTTATCTTTTTTTTTTGGATTTCGATCTTCTCGCTATACTGCTGATTTGTTAACTGTAATAACTAATAGATTTTATTTTATATTAGATAGATGTGGAGAGATTAGAGCTATCGCTTTTAACGTTTCTAAAGTCTTTGATAAAATTTGCTGGTCTTCTCCATAAGCTCTCTTCTTACGGTATATCAGGTAAAATCTTTAAGTTTTTTAACCTATTCAACCATTTAACCCATCCTTACCAATTGTAGTACAAAATTTGTCCTTGGTTGATTGCTTTTTTTTTTCATTTCTTGTAACTTCAGAGGTTTCTTAAACTGCTATCTTTAGCTCTACACTTTTCTTAATTTACATTAAAGATCCCCAAGAAATCCTCACATCTAAGGTGACATTGTTCGCTTATGATACCACCATTTATTCTTATCTTGATAAGAAGTCAATACTCCCTGATTGCTTGTAAGAGGCATTTGAACTTGAAAAAGACCTGACTTTGGTTAAAGCATAAAGCTTTAACCAAAGTCAATGGCTGGTAAACTTTAACTTAAATAAAACTCAGAAAAAAACTTTTTCTGATAAGGCATGCTATCGGAAAAATCTGCCCACCTTTTGCGGTGTGGTAAAGCTAGTTAACGGTCGTTTTTTGAAATTTTTTTTTTGTGTGTGGTAGTGTTTGTATAATAGAACATTTTGGCAGAAAAAAATAATTAAAAATATTATTTAGTTTCAAAATGTCAACCAAGCAAACTAAACAAAGATTTTTGATTATGGACAAGCACTTAAAAAATCCAACTTTATCGAATAGAAAGATGGCGAAATCATTAAAAATATCAAGAAGAACTGTAGATACTGTTCTTAAACGGTTTACAGAGCAGAAAACTGTTCAGAGAAAACAAGGAAGTGGTCGAAAAAACGCACAGCAAATCCTAGAGCTCTCAAACGGTTAGAGACTTTATTGGAAGAACATCCTGATTGGTCTCATAGATTTTGAGCGAAAAAACTGAAGGTTTCCAATTTTTTTGTACACAAATGGCTACAGAGACTTGGATATCAAAGTTTTAAAGTAGTTAAAATGCCAAATTGCAACAATAAACAAAATTCAACCGCAAAGAGTCGAGCTCGAAAGTTGTATGACAACTTGTTAACAAAACATAATGGATGCATTTTGATGGATGATGAAATTTATATTACAATGGATTTTAAACAAATTTCTGGGCAGTGCTACTATGCTTCTAAAATAAGAGGAAATGTGAGTGATAAATACAAGTATGTAATGGCTGATAAATTTTTGAAAAAATTGATGATTTGGCAGGCACTTTGCTCTTGAGGCAAAAAATCGCCAATTCATTTGTTTGGGCGTAATGAAATCTTCGGAATACCTAAAATGTTGTCTTTCTTGTATAAAACGATTAATTAAAGCTCATAGAAGTACTTCAGTATTGTTTTGGCATGATTTACACAATACATTACTCAAAAGAAGCTGAAAAGTTTTACAATGATAATGGAGTGATGTTGGTTCCGAAAAAGATGAATCCTCCAAACTGCCCCGAATTATGTCCTATTAAAAAATATTGGGCCATCATAAAAAGAGAAATTGAAATTAAGTAAAATCAGCTACAGATTTGAAGAAAAAATGGGATTACGCTGCTAAAACTTACAAAAATCACTCTGTCCAGAAACTTATGGGAGGCATCAAAAAGAAAGTCAGAATTTTCTGTAAAACTTAATTTTATTTTGTTTTTTCCCCATTAATATGTAATCTTTACAGTCTTAATTTTTCAGAAATATTATGATTTAAATACATTTAAGCTTTCTTGCTTTTTTGATCAAGAAAGGTGGGCAGATTTTTCAAATAGCATGCCTTAACCAATATTGCAATTATCTAGATCTTCCTATATTTATGAATGATAATGTACTTGATGATTCATCTATCAACCGTCTTTTAGGATTACTTCTTACTTTCTGTCTTTCTTGGAAACCATATATCAAATCGATTGCAAAATTATCATCAGCTAAGGTTGCATTTCTTTATTGTGCTTGCTACTTTCTTTATCTTTCTAATATTTATCTTTATAAATCTCAAATCCATCTTTTTATGGAATAATGCTGCCATATCTGGAGCAAATTGTTAAATGATGTCCTTTCTCTTTTAGACAAGATGCAAAAACGCATTGTAAACATAGTTGGATCTGCTCTTGCAGCCAACCTTCAACAATTGTCACATCTTAGTAATGTTGCTTCTCTTTCTTTTTTCTATAAATACTATAATAGGCGCTGCTATAAAGAGCTAGCGTCTCTTGTGCCATTTACAACACTCACAATGTTTTAAGAAATCAAGAAAAGTCCGTTAAACAACCGTTTTTAATAACGTTAGTAAATAAGAAATTTTTTATTTAAAGTTGTCTTTGAAAAACCTCAATATATTCTACAACCTTCCTGATCATAGAATATATTGGAATTAAAAAAAAATGAAACATCAAGTAGTTTGTCTGTGCAATGAGAGGAAATTGATAAAATGAATTACATCCGTCTGACGTACAAACACTCAATTTTAAATTATGAATTGAATGTCCATCTAAAATAAAAACTGATTGATTTATTGCTTGTAATTAGACTTCTTTTTAAAAATAATCAAACCAATTTTTTAAATAATACAGATACTATCTATTCATTTTTGCTACCAACCGATTGCTAATTTATCTAAAAACTCAACTCGCGGATGTAAAGACGTTGCCGGACTAGCTGGCTGGCATCAAAATGTTGATTTTTTCCTCTTTCAGAACTTGTTAACCAACAAACACTTTGCTTTCCTTCATAGCAAAAAGCTTTTTTGGTTTGTGATAATAAGTTTGATGGACAAATAATCTTATTTTCATTGGCATTAAGCATTATTTTTCCAGATCGTCATAAAAGAGAAACTTTTAAACCATTGGCACACTGTTGCAACAACATTGACTCTTAAGCTTGGTTTCCAATAGTTGCAGAAATGTTGCGCAGCAGTTGTTGTGCGTTTTTGTTTGATTCTATTTCCACAACTTTTGTTTTACAACATAAATTTTGTTGTACAACTGACGTTAAGTTGTGCAACTGACGCAAGAAAATTTTTCCATTATAAAGCATTATTGTTGTACAACTGTTGTATAACATTTCTACAACAATTGGAAACCAAGCTTTACAAAAAATTTACTATAACATATACTTAACTTAAAATGTTTTGAATGGAATCAGTATATATTGTAAAATTTAATAAAATAAAATGATTGTTTAAGATGAGAATATTTTTTTGCACTCTTTTTATTTTTCTTAGATTCGTCTTTATTTCTAAATTGGCAATAAATTAATGACACTATTTTGATTAAAAATATGAATTTATTATAAAGATAGTATTCAAAAGCATACTAAAAGTATACGAATACAAGGGGTTTCTTGATGACAAGATCGGTCTTCTGCAAGTTTCCCACGTTCTTTAAATAATGACGACACGTTACATTATACTTTTGATTCAACATTACAACATTTGTGGATTTTTATTAGATGCTATACTTTGTTTATGATTTCATTATATATATGACGAGTTCATATTTTTTAAAGAACAAAATAACAAAAACAAAAAAAAAGTTAAACTTTACGGGTGTTTCTGAAGGTGGAGAAGGCTGCAACTAACTTAAAACCAACTTTCCCATGGGAATATTGATTCATAGCTATATAATATTCATAGCTATATAATTTATTCATAGCTATTTAAACTATGCAGTTATTGTCTGGGCCTGGTCTATAGTTTATATAGCTATGAATAAATTAATAGAAATAATATTTAAGTAATAAGAACTCAGCTACTTTAATTCCATTACTTATGACATAGAGCTATTATATAAATTTGTAAATATATATCTATGAAAGAATTACCAAGGGATGCTTATTTAATTACCTTTGAATTTTTTATCAATTTTGTTTTTTCGATGTTTAAAGTTAATGAGTTGTACTTAAAAGAAATAATTAACTTCTTCAAAGTTATTTAACAAAAGCTCATTAGCAAAAAAGTTTAACAAAAGTTCTTTTTTGTTCTTTAACAAAAGACTTTTTTCAAACAAAGTTTGACAAGTATACGTTAGTATTGTCCGCATACATAGAATGTGGGACATAACTTTTTATTTCAAATAATTCTTCATTTTGAAGACTATATCTACAGGAGATCATCAGCTTAGTGACGGATCCAGCACACAAACACACCCTCCCAAACGTTACATATTTTAAGCTTTATGCCAATCAGCTTCGAATCATCGCAATTTTTGCAAAGCATCATTATTTGATATAAGTATAAACATACAAATGTTTAGAGTTTGCTCCATATCTCGAAGTTAGCTATCTCAAACACCAAAAAATGCTGGATTCGTCACTGCATCAGCTTTCTATTTTTCAACTAGCTTTTTTCCATTTTTTTCAATTTACCTATTATAATATTCCGTAAAATATGAGCATTTTGAATAAAACTTTGCGGTTTACTGTATTAAAAGCTGGATTAGAACAGTATATTTTATTTTAATTAACTTTTGTTTAGATTTTTTTTTTTTTTGCCAAATCTTCTCTACGCACACGCACAAGCATTTTTTTTTTCTGATTTTTTTTTTCTGATTTTTTTTTTTTTTTTTATATGTTGTAACACAGTTTAGGAAATATTACATAATTCTTTAAATGGCACAGTTTATACCTATGTAATGGTAAAAAATTGTTACAATCAGTAACAATATGTATTTTCAATTTAATATTGTAATTATTTTGCGTTTAAGCTACTTGGCAACTTATGCTAGTCTTTCCCATAATCCTGCTTTAAATACATGACTAATAGCGTAGTATTAAATACAAGACTAACAACGTAGTATTACTGCAAGTGATAAATATTACTAGGATGATATACAAATGAAAATAAATAACAACATAATTAACTTTTTTAGATAACGTACTTGGTATCAATCTTTCAAATCATTGCAATACTTCTTATGATGGTTACCCGGACCTTTTGGAATGTCCTCAGATTGCCGAGCATATCAAAGAATGTCAAAAAAATGGTAAAAAAATTGTAGTTTCTCTTGGTGGGGCATCTGGTTTATATGGGTTTAATTCTGCTGATGAAGCGCAAGAATTCGCAAACACTGTTTGGAATTTGTTTCTCGGTGGCAGTTCTACTGTAAGGCCGTTCAAATCTGCTGTTTTGGATGGTGTAGATTTAGATATTGAAGCTAGTTCTCCATTATACTACACAACCTTTGTTCAAGCTATTCGTTTACTTATGTCTAAAGATATAACTAAAAAGTATTTAATTACTGGAGCACCTCAGTGCCCATTTCCTGATTACTATTTGGGACCATCAAAAGATACTGTTTTATATGATATTGGTGAGGAATTTGATTATCTATATGTTCAGTTTTATAATAACTACTGTTGCCTGGGTAATGAAAACGAGTTTATTGCTGCTTTGAAGAAATGGTTTAATTTTTCAAATGAGACAAAAACTGCACACGGTAAAGGACCATCTATATTTGTTGGACTACCATCTCACCCTAGAGCAAGTGGCGGCCCTGAAGATTACCAGACGCCCGAAAAAGTGCAGGCAATATACGAAGTATAATTTTTTCATTTGTTTTATTTTTATTTTTATGTGAATTTTGAATGTATTTGTCATATCTATTGCTGGAAAAAAAGTTTAAAAAAATGCTAATTTTAATTTTCTTTATAGACTATCAAGAGTAACAAAGAACTTGGAGGATTTATGTTGTGGGATGCCAGTTTTGACTCCAACAACTTGATTGAAAATCAATATTATAGTGCGTTATTATACAAATTTATTTTGAATTAAATTTGATTTTAAAATTAAGTAACTAATTGTTTTTTACTTTGTTTTAAATAAAAATAATAATAATAATGAAATTACGGTCGACGACACGGGTTTTGAAGTGGAGGGGCACAATTGTTAATTTCTAAGAAAAGGCTTCTATAACTAGAGTTTTCTTAAAAAAAAAATCCTTCAGAAAAAAAAGTGGAGAAAGGACACGTACCCACAGCCCCCACCCCCACCCCTTCCTCCGGTGTCGTTCTTCCTGTGAAAATATCTTATAAAAACTTAGGAGACAACAACTTTTAGTTTGGCTAGAGAAATAAAATACTTTTGTTTTAAAAATAAATAACTTTTTTAAAAGAGTTATACTTGGGATAAGCAATGAGTTTAAAAAGCAAAAAAAAAACTCTTTTTTTAAAAAAAAAGAAGGATTTTTAAATTATTAATTTTCTAAAAGTTATTTTAAATATCTTCACTTCCAACAAGACTACAAGCAACCATTATTAGAATTGAAAGTTACTGAAATAGTAAAGATGATGTTTATAAAGTAATATAATGATTAACAGAAGACTTAAAGGATTGCAAATTATATGAATCAGGAAAACAAGATGATGGAAGCGAATTTCAAGGAACTGATGTTCGAGAAAAAAACTAGACAAATAAGAATTTTTGCAGCACTGAGGAACAGTCGTTGTAAAAGAACGAGAATCACGAGTAACACTATGATGAAATTTAGATTTTTTTTACGGATTTTCAGATTTATTTACGGATTTGAGATTTATAGAGATAATGAATAGAACCCGGAGTGAGAAAGTGGCGAGCACGATAAAGAGTTGCAACATGAGCAGATGCTAATTTTGCAATAGATTTAAATATGGTTTTGAAGAAAGATTGGAAGTATAGTTAATCCTAAAAGACGAAGGGTAGATGACTCATTGAGTACATTACCGTTTATAAACATAGGAAGATCTAGATTACTGCGATAACAATTAGCTGAAAAAAACTGCATTTTACCTGAGTTAAAGTTTACCAGGCACTGAGAGCTCCATGCTGTGGCAGAAGTCAGGTCCTATTCAAGCTCAAATGACCTCTCTAAGAATAAATAATAGTATCATCAGTGAACAATTCCAAAATAGATGCGAGGATTTCAATGAGATTGTTAATGTAAATTAAAAAAAGTGTATGGTTAAGGGTAGAACATTGAGAAACCCCTGAAATTACAAGAAATGAAGAAGAGTGCAGTTCATCGAGGACAACTTTTATGCTACATTTGGTATGGAAGGATCAAGTAATCTTAAAAATGTTACCTGATACACTGTAAAAAGAGAGCTTGTATAGAAGACTAACATGGCAAACTTTATCAAAGACTTCCACTAACCTCTCTACATCTATCTAAAGCACAATAAAACCTATTGGTTATTACCGTTAACAAATCAGCTGTAGAACGAGAAAATTGAAATCATATTGATGATCAGAAAGCAAGTTTTTGAATTTAAGATGATTTAATTTTTAAATTTTTGTTTATTAAAGACTCAAAAATCTTGCTTATTATAGGAAGAAGATTAATAGAACGGTAATTAGATAAGCCAGATTGCTCTCTAGAATTTTCGGAAATGATGCGCAGATGCTGGAGTGATACAAATGTCAAGCAATGGATTGACCTGATTTTCGGCTATATCAGGTAGAAGGTGATAAGTGAAATTAAGAGATAAGATTCATAAAATGTTCTTAGCAAACAGTACAGTTTTGTCTTTAGGTGTGGTTACAAAATTTGAACCTTGCAGGAGAGATTGAATAACAAATTTGCTTTTATTACAAACACTGTTAAAATTTCTCCCAAAGTCTCTAAAGCCTAACTTTTTTAATAAAAGACAATATTTTGTGACCTAAGATTAGCAGACTTTGGCGGTAGACAAAACCTTTTTACAATGGTTTCTATCAATATTATATAGACGTCTGTTTTATGGAAGTAATGGTTACAATTGGAAATTGCAGCAGTACAATGAAAAGAAAACCATAAAGAAGAGTAAGGCTTGATTTGAAAAAATTGAGAGGAAATAAATGATTCCATGCTAGTCAAAAAGTTACGTCAGAAGCATGTTTGTCTGCAGGAAGACGAAAGGAATCCTTGATCAGGACCACCTAAAGGTAACTATTTGTGTTAAAGATTGAGAAAGGTTAGTATTGTGCGCTTTAACACCAGCAGAGTCACAGACACTAAGTTCAAGCATTCAGTGTGATGTGTGTTAAAGTCACCAACAAGAATAATATTGGCTGTAAGATAGAGAAAAAGGGCATGGTCAATTTGATCAGAAACAATATTAAAAAGAGAGCAGTCTTGAGATGAAGGAGTACAATATACAATAAAGAAAAAGGTGATAAAGTGAATTGGTGCTAAATGAAAGCACAAAAAAGAATATTCTTTAGATTCAAACCTATTTTACAGACAAATTCTTACGAATGTAAATGCTCATGCAAAGCATGTGATTATTGGAGTCTTTACGAATCAAACAAAGATAACCATCAACACAATGATCACAAGATGAAACAGCTAAACTTAAATCAATCTTGAAAAGAGCAAGTGCATCAGGTGAACTTAGCTAGAGATAAGATTCAACAGAAGAAAATTTACTTCGAAGACCATGAATATAAGTAAAGATTTAGAGAACTTGGTGATGATGGTAGTTTTTTTCTGTTGTATAGTTTTTGGTACTTTAGTCTCTAGTGAATTTTTTAAGCACAATTAGTGTTCAATTCAGAAATAGCACTCAATACACTGCTTAATAGCCTAAGCAATTAGCTTATTACTATTAATAACCCTAAGCCGTAGCAAAGGGCTCCAAATGTGGCCTTGACAATGCACACCAAAAATACAAACAGGGACACCATCAGTGGGCAACATGGCACTGTTAGTACTTCAATACTTTTAGTTGTTACTGGAATCAACCCCTCTGAGAGCTACTACAGATTTCGGGAAACCTGACTATCAGCCGGCCTATGAACCATGTTTTAGAGCTGTACCCTTATTTGGAGTTAATAAAATGAGCTGCCTAGTTATATAAACAGAGACACAAGCAAAACTCATGCATTGAGTCATGTAGATTCAGCATTTAATATCTTTAACTGGAAATAATGTATTATAACTACTTCTACACCGGCTTAATAGATGAAGTAGGGGAGTAAAGCTAGTTAACAGATAAGTTCTATTTACTCCTTAAGTCTTGGCCTAGGAGGGCTTCTGTGCAAGAGTAGCCAGATGCAATTATCAATTATCTTCTGCTCAAGATGTTTAATTTTATTGAGACACCATCTCTATTTTTTACTTAACCAAGAGCCACAAGGCAGGGGTTTGTTAAGTCAGAGTTGGCATGTTGTAGCCCTTTGCCTAAAAAGCGTATTCTACAAGGCAGCAGAACATAATGCAGTTTGTACTTAGTTTCATGTTACCAGTAGCATGATAATTTGACCTGACAAAGAAAAAAGTGTCTATATCTACTTATATTTATACATAATAACTAATATAACTCTTATATATATAATAATAATGATAACGAATATATATGTTATTAGTTTATTACCGGGATACCTTAAGATTCCCAGTGGACTGGTTATTTTAATAAAAATTATCATATTTTTTTTTAGGCTACATTGTTTTCGGTTGTTTGTTATAAAAAATTTTCCGTAATTTTGTTGGCAACATGGCAAACTTTATCAAAGACTTCCACTAACCTCTCTACATCTATCTAAAGCACAATAAAACCTATTGGTTATTACCGTTAACAAATCAGCTGTAGAACGAGAAAATTGAAATCATATTGATGTTGAAATCATATTGAAGTTTTTGGATTTATGATTTAATTTTTAAATTTTTGTTAATTAAAGACTTAAAAATCTTGCTTATTATAGGAAGAAGATTAATAGAACGGTAATTAGATAAGCCAGATTGCTCTCTAGAATTTTTGTTATGAATAGTAGCTTAAATAACCATGTTATTTTTTAAATTAAATTATTACAAAAAAATTCTTTTTTTCTACTTTTAAAATAATATAATAATTTTTATGTTTGTAAACCAATTTGAGTCTAGTTTTCAAATTACTTTAGTTCATTTCCGGCATACAAACTCAACCCCAAAGAAAAATGAAAAAACTAAAAAGAGGGGCTGAAATAGAACAAATAAGAAAAAAAACGTTTAGAAAACGATGCCCTTATGTATAAAAATTTAGCGAACATGCTTGCAACATCTTTTAGTAATTACTTGTTAATATCAACACGGCTGATGTAGCAACAACTGAAATAATTACTGTTCTCCATCCAAATTGCGATGCCGCTAATGCAGTACTATTATTATCACCTAGCAATGCAGAGGCGCATGATTCTAAAATTGAAATAGCGAATAGTTTCAATGTCAATACTCTCAATGCGATCTCTTACCCTAAATCAGATAGTCGATATAAAATCAACAATGCGAGCCAAGTAAAGAAACTCAAAACAACTATAACAATATTTTGAAGCCGCCTGCAGATTTTCAAAATAATTTTTTGAATTTCATCCGAAGCAAAAAAATTTTGATCATAACGTTAAAATTGATTAATAAAACGTATCTTTCAGAAATAAAAAGCCTCGTCACTGGTTAGCCTTTGAAAAAAACACATAAAAATTGTTTTGTTCATTTTTTCTAGCATTAAACAAAGTCTCAGATCAATCAACGTTCATTAGTGGATATAAGATTACGAATTCCAAGCATATTTATCAAAGAATATCAGAATATGAAAGCAGTGCAGCGTGCACTGCGTCATATGTTTTAAAAATCAGTGCCAAAGATATTATAGGCATTTATACGTTCCAACATGGTGAAGAGGTTAAAAAGAATCATTTAATTTTAGAAAGAGTCAAGAAACTAAAAAAATTATTGTTAAGCGTGGGCTTAGCTGCGTGGTGCAGAAGTCTGGGTACACTTTGCTTGATGACTGTGTTGGTCATGGGAATTTTTTGGAGAATCTTTTGCTTGTTGGCAAATTTGATCCGTCGTTGGTAGTAGATATC